CGCTCTGGAGGGGTGGTCCCCATGTCGGCCCATGCTTTTCCTAATCAGGGACACAGTACTCTCTTCTGCTCTGCAAGCCCTGCTGGGGGACAAGGCCCTTCTCCTGTCCCTTTTTCTGCACCCTGATCCTCTGCCTCGTCCAGTTCCTCTGAGTGGTGGGTGAAAAGCAGCTGTCAAGAAGGCGAGTGTCTCCAGCCCTGCAGAGAAGGACTTGGGGATGCTGGTAGGCAAAAAATTGGACATGACCCAGCAATGTGCACTGGCAGCCCGGAAAGCCAACCGTGTCCTGGGCTGCATCAAAAGCAGCGTGACCAGCAGGTCGAGGGAGGGGATTCTTCCCCTCTACTCCGCTCTCGTGAGACGACCCCACCCCGCAGTACTGCCTCCAGCTCTGGAGCCCCCAGGACCAGAAGGACATGGAGCTGTTGGAGAGAGACCAGAAGAGGCCACAGAGATGATCCGAGGGCTGGAGCACCTCTGCTATGGAGACAGGCTGAGAGAGTTGGGCTTGTTCAGCCTGGAGAAGGCTCCAGAGAGACCTTAGAGCAGCATTTCAATACCTAAAGGGGGCTTATAAGCAAGACAGAGAGAGAGTTTTTACTACGGGCCTGTAGTGACAGGACAAGGAGTAATGGTTTAAAACTGTAAGAAGGTAGATTTAGATTGAACATAAGGAAAAAAAATTTTATGATGAGGGTGGTGAGGCCCTGGCACAGGTTGCCCCAAGAAGCTGTGGCTGCCCCTGGCTCCCTGGCAGTGTTGAAGGCCAGGTTGGATGGGGCTTTGGGCAACCTGGGCTAGTGGAAGGTGTCCCTGCCCATGACGGGGGTGTTGGAACTAGATGGGCTTGAAGGTTCCTTCCAACCCAAACCAGTGTGGGATTCTATGAAAAAGGGGTAAACTCAGCATCACTTCCCCACGCAGCCCAGACTTTGCCGCTCTGTTCTGCACTTTGGCTGCGCATCCCTCTCCTGCACAGCCACACTGCAGGAGGGCAGCGGCTGAACATAATCTGCTGTGCTTGTCGTCAGAGGTTGTGCCATTGCTGTGCATCGATCTTTGGAGTATGGTGGGTGAAATGAGACAGCAACAGTGTGATGCCCCAGGGCCAGGAGGTGCTGGGAGGCAGCTTTGGCAGTGACACTGCTTGTAGGGAGACAAATCCCTGCCTCGCTGCAAAGTCTCAGGTAAGAAAAGAATTGCTGGCCAGAGACCTCATTTAAAAGAATCAAACTGGGCTCATGGGAAAGAGAAGAGGAAAGCTTTGTAGATGCCTGGTTTCAGCTTTCACCCACGGTGCTTTTTATCTGTGCATGAAAAGCTTCTTGTCCTCAAAGTCCCCATGCTGCTTGCCAAGGCCTTCCTTCACCTCTGCCTTTGCTCGCAGTAAGCCGATGTCCCCACCCGCGGCTCTCAGTCTAGACCTGAGCTCCGAGCTGCTTTGAAAGGCCGTCCCGAGGAATTAGAGCTGCAGAGCAGGGGCACGGGCATAGCAGGGTAAATGAGAAAGACACTCAGAGGAAGAACAGGACACTGCAGGGAAGGGTGCAGGGAGGGTAGGTGAGAACTAGGCTAGAAGTGCGTCCTCAGCCAACGAAGACAACTTGTCCAACATCTGTCCTCCGTGCCACTGCAAGGAATCTGGCAGACTGCCTGGATGCGTGCGGGTTGCTGCCTCAGTGCTGGATGGAAACACACAGACACACGTGTCTTGGTGCTCCTGAGTGAGCAAAATTAGTTGTGTTTTAATGCCAATCGCCATCCCCTCCTGTAAGGGCTAGCATTGAACTTTGATGTATGTTGGTACAGTGTTGTGCTGTGGTTCCTTACAGAATCACAGCACAGGGAGGAGCTGGTACTGTGTGCAAGCCAGGTAATTAATTTGGGGAATAATTAGGGAGTAACACCAATGACAATGTCTAAATACACCAGGATAAGCGTAAGGTCCTTCCCCTCAGACCCATCTGCCCCAGGGCCAGCTGTGTGTCTTTTGAGGGAAAGGGGAAACACAGGAAAGTCTGGCCTTAAATTTCTAGGGCTGGAATCAAACTTTTCCCAACCAGCTGAATATCCTTCCTTCCAAAGACCAAATGGTATCACTGGAGAGGGCAGGAATTTGGTCCGTCAGTCCCCAAAAGAAAATGAGGATGAAGCACTAGCAGAGTACGAAGCTGATGGTCTCCCGGGTGCCTTTGCTGCCCTCAGAACTCAGCTGTACACCTACTGCTGCTCCATACACCCTGATTTGTTCCATACTCCCTTTTGCTGGGTTCTTCACCTGGGGCCGGCGCTGCCAGGACTTACGTTGCTGTGAGCCGTTCTGGGCTCCTGGACTGCAGACAGCATTCATGTGCTGACGGGCATAGTTTCCAGCCATTTTTCGCAAGAGGGCAGGGGGGCAGACAGGGGTTACGGTGTTCCCAGAGCTCTCCAACAAACATCGATTTGTTCCCAACAGAGCTGACCATCCTTTTGTCACTGCTGGGTGCTGTCCTCACTAGCCAGCAGTTTGGCAATGTCAATACCATGAACCGTAGCCCCAGTGATGACCCCAGGTCTCAGGTTGTTTTAATAGGTTCATATGGGTCCATACAGTGCTGGAGTTAAGTCATAGCTCTGTTCCCTCTCTGGTACATGAACTGGGTGTTTTGGAGCCGGTGTGGGTGTCTGCGAAGGATGCAGTGGTGTCTGAATGTATATTTTGTTTCTTTCCCTGCAGAGCAGAGCTTTTCTAAAAGCTCTCCAGAGGGCACTGGTGGTGTTTGTGGATCGGATTAGTAACATAAGTCTGGGCTGGGAGGCAGGAAGCTGGTTGTCAGAGTGTCTGCCGGGAGGTAGGTTTAGAGTTTGGTGACAAATAATGATTCTCCTGTACTTGCAGCTGGGCATGGGAGCTGTGAAGAAAGCATGGAGCAGTGGTGGGAAAGAGCTTCCAGACAGGTAGTGTGAGTTTTTGGGTGGGAGTGGAGAATCAGCCTTATGCTCTGAAATGCCTCCTCTGTAGATGTTTCATCCTGGTGCTTTAGCTTCAAACTGTCTCCACATGGAGCTTCCTCACCCATGCCCTCTACACCTTTCTGTTCCTTCACTTCGTCCTTTCTAGTGGGTGGAGGAAGAAGACCTCCACACAGTTCTGCTTTTGAAGTGAACCTGTCCTTGTTCCCTTCTGATTTTGAAGCTTTTAGCCTCAGATCCTCCAGATCTGGCCAGGGAGTGGGACTCCTAAGAAAGGCAAGGAACAGGGTGTGAGTGGTACGAAGCAAGAAATCAAATCTTGCCTCCTGTGAGATGACTCTTCTCTGTCTGGTGTCTGATGACACAAACCGGGTCTGTCCACATAGATTGGAATTGGAGATACTGTTACAGAAAAACTCTCCCCTCGGGGCTGGGCACGTGGAAATCTTTTCCTTCTCTCTTTCTGAGTGCCCTGAAGATGTATTTCCCAGCAGTGGCATCTCTTTCTGATTTCAAGGGCTCTTTCAGTGAGGGCTTTTATCAGCAGTGGTTTCCACTGTTCATGGAGCTCTGATCTGGAGTCCTGAGCATCCCCAGAAAGTCCAGCATCCTTTTGACTACGTTGCCAGGAGATCAACTTGTACCTTCTACTTGAAACTCAACATAGTGCCTTCTGGGCAGATAAAGGACTATGCATGCAGGGCATAAGCATGTTCTCCCAAGAGGAAGAAGAATAAGGCAGATAAATCCTTGTTAACCTCTGGATAATATGCAGTTCTTCAATCTGACAGACTCCCCAAAGTTAGGAAGTCTTCTCATTGTATCGGTTGATGCCCTTTGGTGTCCTTAAAGGTCCTAGTTTGATTAGACGCACAAGATGATAGACAACATCCTGCTGTGTAGGATGTTGAATGGGGGCACTGTGATTAGAAAATGCTGGCCTTTTTTTCAGTGATAACCTGAAATGAAATGCATTTGTCTTTATTCTAAAGTAAAGAATTTGTATTTCTTTGTTTCACAGCAGTAATTTTCCAGTGAAATGAGATACAACATTCCTTCCAATAAAGTAAGTTGTTTTTGCTAAGCAAACCACTAGTTTTGATATTTTATTCTTTCCGTCTCAACTTCCAGGTTTTTTTTCTGAACCTTTTGCTGAAAACAAAACCCAAGCAGATGCAAAAAATGCTTCTTACCCTGTCCTTCAATTTTTTTCTTTATGTTTCCCAGCAGATGAAGAAAAGAGGAGACCCTGTCCTTCTGTCAGAGGGTAACACATGATTTGGCCTGGCTGACTTCAGCTTTCAGGACATGGCCAGCTTTGCCCAGGTTGGCAGATGAGTACACACAATGCTCAGAGATGGTATATGCTTGCTGTGCTGGGGCTAGGCTGTATTCGCAGTCCTCTCTGAGAGCACGCCTGCGTCCCAGGAAGGAGCCAGCCCAGAGATAACACCCCAAGGATGGAGCCTCAGGAGTTGCACAGCAGTATCTGAGCTGCTTTGTTGACTGTTCTGCTCTGATAGTGCTCGTTTGTGCTGTCTACTGATGAAACCCTTATTCTGCCTTCCTCCGGAAAAGATTCTAGTGAAAGACAGAAATTGAACCCTTTCCTGCCTGGTTACCAGTGATGTTGACCAATACTGGTACTGAGTAGACCTGTAGCAAGGGCCAGCCCAATCCCCTCAGTGTCCAGGAACTTCCTCAGGTTCCTCCACTCAGAGTGTTGCTGAGAAGTTCCTAGTTTGACCTGAGATGTGGTTGTTAGCTCTCTCTTAAAACTCTTTTTTTTCCCCCATCTGAGTAACAATGACCTCTCTGAGGATTCCTGAGTTCAAAACCTCCTGGTTTGTGGCTCTTGCCATGATGATAGGGATGAGAAGCAACATGGCTCTTCATGCAGGCCGTCCAGGTGAGCAGAGATCCTGGATACTCAGGGACAAGGGAAAGCAGCAGCAAAATGTCCATCCTGACTTTGTCCCATGTGTCTCTTCCCAGAGCATTTCCTGCTGCAGCGAAAACAGGAGCGTCACTACATGAATGGCACTCAGCAGGTGGAGTACCTGGCCAGGTTCATCTGGGAGATCTGTTCTTATGACAGAGAGGTGGGTTTCTACGTGGCCTGCACAGGGCTGGGATGGGCAATTGCTGAGTATTGGAACAGGCTGCAGTGACTTAGCTACCTGTGGGCTTCAGGGGTGAAATACTGCAGCTATAACTGGAGGAGGACTCGGAGTGTGATGGACAGGAGAAGTGAGTCTTTGGAGGGGAGGAGGAGAGTGGCATGGTGAAACTTGGCTTCCCCAGCCTGGGACCACATTTACCCGCCCACCCCATCATCTCCCTGTTTGGCAGCCACTGGATATCAGAGGAGCTTAGTGGATGGTGGGAGACAGGTCTGAGCTCAGTGGGGCAGGAGGAGGAAGAGTGCCATGGACTGGAGCAGTTAGCATCTTTATTATGAGTCTGAGACTGAAGGAAATGACTTGCAGGAACCCTGCAGAAAAGCATGGGACAGGACTCCCAAGCCTAACAAATGCACCTCTCCTCCTGGCAATTCCTGGAGCAATGGACCCACCTGAGAGGTGGGAGAAGATGTGAAATGCTCCTACTAGATGTTTCTGGTAGCAGCAGAATTCTTCTTCTGTGATGGTCCTTCACTGAGGGAAGAAGGAGGATTAAAGATGAATTCAAAGGAGGATGGGCCAGCACTCTCCTTGTTCTGCAACAAGGTTTTATCCTTCTGAAATGAAGAGCAAGCGGTTCAAAAATAGGAAGGAGGAGATGGACAAAGTTGTGTACAAGAACCTCCTCCTAAATGGAGATTAGTCCTTCCAGATCCTGGTCACTTTGGAAGTCATGCCTAAGCAAGGGGATATCTGTGCTTCCCAGAGGGAGCATGTCAGTGCCCATCACCACGGCCTGGGGTAAGTGACTGGAAATGGGGAGATCATAAAGTCTTGAGGAGAGTTGCTTCTAGCTCTATGGGGACAGCAGGAAACTAGAACAGATATTTTGGGGGAAAGCAATGTCTAGTCTGGGCATTTACTCTCTGGACTGCTCTTCCAACAGAAACGTGCTCTGGATGTGCTGTGAGCAAGGAGGTGACTGGAACCCTGCGCTTTGTGCTGGGCTTAGGCTTCATCGTGGTGGGACTCGTCATCTATCAGAAGAAAAAGAAAGGTGAATTATTCATAAGCTAAGTAGAAACTCGCTTTTAATGTGGCTGCAGAGAGATGTTTTAAAGCCTGTAAAGCTTCACTAGAATTTAGATTTACCATGATAATTTCCTTGGGTTCCCAGCATTCAAGTGGGTTTTATATGGTCTAATCCAATATCCGCAGAAGCCAGTGATAGCTTTTAATTTATTTTAACTGATGTTAGATTGGGCTTTCAGTGATGAGAAGCCATTTTAGAACTATCATCAGCTGCTGAAAGGTCAGCCCAGTCCTCTGAGATATAGTCCTAGGCTATGGTTATGGTTTCTTATGAGTATCAAATTAGCTACTTCATTCCCAAATGTCTCCACATTGCTTTGTTGCAGACATATTTTGTAGGCTCTAGAAGCAAATACATTCATACTTATTTATAGAAGGATTAAATACCTTTCTTCTGAAACTGCGCAGGGGAAAAAGGAGAGAACATTATCTTCCAGAAAGCTGTATTCTTGTTCTCAAAATGTTGGTTTGCTGAGTAACAGCATCTTATCCCAGCCTTTGCTTTCTCCTTTCTAATAATTTAAGATTATTAGAATCACAAACAAGTACTGGATAAGTCATTGTTGTGTGATACCTTTCATAGTGCAACGAGGACTATCCCTCAGCTTAATCCTATACTGTTATTTTTCCTAAGCAAACTCCCTTAAGCAACCCACATCCAGTGTAGCCCTTTGCTCCCATTAATTCTCAGCCTATGGGTTTAGGTCACCAGCATCAGGAGGACCTGAATTCCCTGCCCACCATCACAGCTGTTATTTACTAGGGAGGAGAAAGCTTGGTGCTGAAAATGCTGAAATTCCCTTCCTTAGACCCAGTTTCCCGGTGAACTATTAGGAGAACGGCATAGAGATTTGACTCTCTAGGAATCAATTTTCCAGCGTGCCCAGAGCCTGAGCTCGTTGCACCTGTGTTGTTCAGGGCCCCATGTTATCCAAGTTATAAATGCTTTGGGTAGGTCTCCAAGGTCATCTCAGGAACTGGATTCCCCACCACAAAAAAATCCTCTACCAGCACAGCCTCTGTCAGGGCTGCCATGGGCTCTCTGAAGCTTAGCTGACCCCGTGGATCTTAGCAGCTCTGTGCGGTGGGTTAGCACGGGACTACTGTGCACTTGGAGATGCCAGGGAGCTGGACCAGGCTGGCAGCTGCTCCAGGACTTCAGAGCAGAGATGCATCAACAGACTATGAGGATGAATGTAGAAACCACAGGAAAGTTATTCGGGGGGGTGAATGTGGGAGACTCTGCAAGCAGGAGCCTGGAAGAGTTTTTCCCTGTCCCTCGATCTAGCTGGCACAGTGACTGGCAATGCTCCAAAGTTCCTCCACCCATTTCTTTCTGCTCTTTTTCTCCACAGGGCTGCCACGCCTGTCTGCTGCAGCCACAGGGGAAGGCCACACAGAAAGGGACACGCTGCTGGGTGCCTTAAATCCACAGCAAACCTCTGTGAATCTGTTTCTGTCTCTCTGAGTTAAGAGGAGCTGTATCTCCCTGCTCTCCTCAACACCATTCCCTTTCCTCCTGGTGTTGCCCACATTAGCAGGGTGCTGCCTCTTCTCTCAGAAGAACTATGAATTTCCAAATTGTCAGACTTGGAAATTCAAGAGCAATTTCGGGGACTGGTGTTGGGGCATCGAGGCTTGGGCGGACTCTGCTCCTGCATGAAGCTGCAGGAGGAAAGCTAGAGCTCCCCTGCCCTGCACACACCTGGGGAGAGAAGAGGGGAATAAATAATAGTGTTTCTAAGGAATGTTTTGTACTTTGAGCGATTTATCTAAGGGTCTGAAAGGATTTAATAACTGAGAGCTAATTAAATGTACTAATTAACCCGGTGTTTAATCTCAGCTCTTTGCTAGCTTTCTGTGCTGCTGAAGCAGAGACGTAGACCCATATATCATGACATCCAGCTACTTTGCTTAATTGTGATTCCTCTGCACATGGTGCAGGCACTCAGCCGCTAAGGTGATGAGAGGAACACGAAAGCCCACGTACAGGAGAAAATTAGAGGGGCGAAGCCAGCCCTGTGTGACTAACAACCTGTGAGATTATTTCTGTGAAGAGGATATTGACAGTCTAATTTGTTTCCCCTCCCCATTATCACTGGTTCGTTCTCATTAGCGCCACTGTTTTGCTAAGGGGGATGGGAACAATCTGCTTCTGGGCGCATGGTGACAAAATGGCCATGTTATTCCTTGGTCCCATCCCATGGAGGTCAACGGTGGAGCATATATCCACCTGCAGCCTGTGCAGAAGACCATGGTGGGGCAGGCTGCCCCCCCTGCAGACCATGGAGGAAGATGGTGGAGCAGATATCCACCTGTAGCCTG